AAAATCACACCCTTGTGATTGAAAAGAATCTCGTGACAGATTTCGGGTGACTCTTTGCTTCCCACCGCCCCTGACGAACTCATCTGGAAGACTTTCCTTCGCCAAAGAATTTGCCTTCCTTTAATTAGTCTGCGTTCATGCTCCACGTTCTGCTCGATGTCATTAAGCATGAGAAAACTTTCTCCGCTCCAATAACTTTTTGTGACATGCTCTAACCTTGCCATCCATCACCAGGGGGGAGGGAGGATGAAGACAAAGCTATAATGAAGCGAGTAGGACTTCAGTATTCCTTAGTTTTAGCACACTCAGCAGGCCTAGAACAAAAATCCAGTCACTTGGTTTGCAAACCCATTATCCATAGGGCAAGCAAGCTGTTTCCCAGTCTGTTACACATTGCCAATTAATTATTTTTGGCTTTGGTCATGCCCAATCTCTTGCCCCCAACCTTTCCCTCCCCCTTCATTCTGATGCTATATATTCGCGAAAGACCCACGTCCAGATTGTTGTGAGCTGTGCCTATGGATTCGTAATTACATCCCTTTGGTTAATGTTCCTCCAACCATTTCATCTATATTTGAGAGTCTGCATGGAACATCCCTCGGTCTCCAGGCGTGCAGATGGGTTCTGCTCACGCTTTTCCTAACAATCTCCGCCCTTGACTACCCACCCGTAGTAACCAAAGTATTAAAAAGAGAAGAAAAAGCATGTTTATGTTTCTAATTCCAATTCCAAAGTTCTGAATTCCTTCATTTCAAGCAGGAACAGTGTGTGATTTGAATGCCTGCTAGATGGTTGACACCGTGATCCAAAAAAGAAGAAAGAGAGAGGGGGAAAAAATGCAGCAAGGCTTTAGAAGAAATATTTTAAAATGACACACAATACTGAACCAACTCTTAAAATAGCACTGCGCCCCCCCCCCCCCAATTTCACACACTTTGGGCCATCTTGAACTTTTTGGAACGTTTTCCAGGGTATGCATTGATCCTAAGGTCATCCACCTAGCAATAAAGACCGAGCAAGGCTAGAGGTGGACAATAAATAGAGAAAATAGGTTATAATATATAAATGTAGCATAATTAGAAGTTGCTAACCCTACAAAGAGGTTTGTTCTAAGCTCCAAGCATTCGAATCTGTCTCTTTAAATTGGTTCTTCCAGAAAACATAATTTCACAGCACGGTGCTCACATCAAAGCAAATGGGGAGAAAAAAATATATATATATATAACTGTTCAAAATGCTGGAGGCTATTCTTAATAGATTCCCTTTCTGTCTTGTCTGCAGCAGTTGCTAACGGAAAGCTTCAGCATCAGCTAAAGAAAAAAAGGGTAGGTCTACAGCAAGGCCACGGTACTTAATACCTCAAAGTCATTAGCAAAGTACAGCTTCTCTCGTTTAGAAAAGAAGAATGTAGTTTCCCCTTTGAGTTGCTCTTGGGGAACAAATAGCCAAGCTCCTTCCTTCGACGTGGGCACAGTTGGAAACGACCTCAGATACCTGATTCAGAAAGGAGTAAGTCTGCTGGACTCTGTGAACGTTTTCGCATCCGCGTACAGTACACATTTCGCTTGACTGCGGAATGGACCCATTTTCTGGGTCTGCATTACCCAGCGAATCCCTGAACTCCCAGTTGGACCGAGTGGGCCAGTACATGAAGTCACGTGTGTGAAAACAAGCGTGATCCGCTGTGCAAACGGCACCCTCCCAGCCTTCATCTGATCGGATGAAGCACGTTGTGTGAACACAGCGTTTTTTTTTAGGGGGCCCTTTTAATCCTAAAGCCAACAGAAAAGCTTAAAAGCCTCGGGCTGCCGCAACCCCTTTTAGCCA